AATTTTAAGGGGTTTGTTTGGTTAGTTGGTTGGTTTTGTTTAGCAATGTATTTTTAGAAATGGAGAAGAACAGTACTGAGGCTTAGAGGCTCTGAACTGCCAAACCTGATTGGGAGAGTTTGTTTGTGTCCCCTCTGCTTTTTTCTTTTGAGCATCTTTAAGCCTTCCTTTTCTCCAGAAAATCCTCCTGCTGAGAGTTATTTCCTCTGCCAAGGAACTATATGGTTGGAGCACATAGGCACAGAAGGGGTTCTAGAAATTCTTCTGGAATCTTGTGTTTTGTGCACTAGTGAATTTGGAAACCTGGGACTGTGAGTTGGACTTTGTGCAGCATTTCATAAAACATACTCTTTAGAGATTTTTTTAGCAGGCTGTTCTGATCTTTTAAACAAATTTTAGTTTGACTAGATGAAGCCGACAGGGAATTCTCCTAGATCAAACAGAGACTGCTGGTGGGAAGGGTAAAAAAGGGGGGATATGGTTCAGGTAGCCACAGATTTTTGTTCTTATGTATGGCAAAGGGAGCCTGTTTAAAGATCCTAGCAGGATAAGTCTTGGAAGGTGTTTGTAGGATTAGGATTTGTCATGAAACACCAATTCTGACGTTTTGTTTTAAAAATGCCCTAAAGAGGAGAGCAGGTTGGAATGCATTAGTTCGAGTTTGCAATGAACACTTGTTCATCAGGATGCTGCAAAGTAGAGGGGAGAAATGCAACCTGATCCCTGCCTGGCTGCAAGGTGTCCGAGTATCTGGTCACAAGAGACCAATAGTGGAAGTGTTGTAAGGGACAAACGAGGGACAAGGGCTGAGTCAATCCGCTCAGCCCTGAGAAGAGTTATGTAGAGTTGCTGCTCTCAGCAGCTCTTTCTCGCTGCCCTGAGCGGAGGGAAAAGTGCCATCCACTCCACTCTTGGCAGCTGCCAGCCCAGCTGAGGGCAAGGAGGTAGCCAGTCTTCCAAATCTCGTGTTCTGTTGGTTTATCTTTTTATAATTTTGTTGCTTTTTTGCAAACATGGATATGTCTTCTGTGCCTTTCAAAGAAAGGTGTGTTGTCACTACCAATGTGTGAGCTACATTGTAAAGATCATATGTGCCCTTAACAGTCTGATAGGGAGAGTGTTCTCAGGGGGAAGCTGTCCCTTAGAAATGCCACTATTCACAGGCACTTCTTGGAGGAAATCCATGAAATGTAAGGGATTTTTAGAGGTGATGCCGCTGCTTAGGCGAGAATTCCCTCAGTTGCTCTTTAACTCCAAAATGTTAACTCACTGTTTAACTCACTGTTTTAGTCCAAATTTCAACTCGAAAGAATTCAGAGGCGTTAGCCCTTGCTCAGTTTGCAGAAGGAGAGCCTCTCACCTGCTTTTTTAAAAAAATGGTTAAAAGAGCCAGTATTGCAAAAACCTATTGTTTGCTGTTGAATTTAGCCGTGTAAGCAATGAGAGGAAGACAAATTTCCTGTATATTGCCTGATGTATAATGCAGTGGTAGCTTGTAGCGTACTCACAGGGAGTAACAGTGAAACAATTTGGACTTCTGGTGTTGGAGGAGTGCTGTTTGTTGGTACAAAATAAAGCTCTTGAGGCAGTGAAAGTAGCTGATGTCTGACTGATTGTAGGTTTTGTTTGGGTTTTGTTTGGGAAATAGCTCTAGTGTGAAAGTGAGAGGCATTTATGCCTCGTGTCACTTTCGAATCACTTTCAGATAGTTTTGCTAGTTCAGTCACATGGTCACAGAGCATAGAAATAGCGTCTTTTGGGTAAAATCCAACAAGCAGGTGAGTCGTGTTTGGGGTTTTTGGTTTGTTTTTTTAGCAGTAGCTGTTCAATACTTTTTGTCTAAATATGTGACATGACTTCAATCCCTCTCCTTTATTCCTTGCAGGAATATGAGCAAGGTGTTTTTGTTGCACCCCTCTTTACACTGGAGGGAAGAAAGAAGGAAGAACGAGAGAGAGAGAGAGAGTGAAAACAAATGCTTGTATCACAGGGAAATTTTTAATCCAAGTGTGCAAAATTTGTTGAGAATCTCTGATATTCAGTAATTCCTGGGTCCCCAGGAAAGCAGAACTATTTTTTTTTTTACGTTAATGAAAAGCCTACTCACGTGTGTTCAGTGCATGATGAGACATCTGAGTGCCACCTTCCTCTTATCCCTTTGCAGTCTCAAGATTTGGAGCAGTCCCTGATAGACGAGTTGATAATGACTCCAGAAATCCCCCCAGATGCTGTTCAGGACAGAAGCCTTTGCAGTTTACCACCGCTGGAGAGAAAGTGCTTGGTGGGAGTCTTTGTGGAATTCGTCGTCTCTCCTAGTCAGTTCTACGTCCACATCTGCAGCAGGGAAACATCTGATAAACTGCAGAATATGATGCTTGAGATGAGGTGCGAACATGTTATCCTGATTCAGTGCTGCTATCCCCTGTATGTGTGTTTGTGCTGAGGGAACGGGGCACCCAACTTTTAGTTATGGTCACTGCTGGCTTGATTACTTGATACAGAGATGGCAGTGCTGTACTGAAACAGGTTCTCATTCCTTTTAGCTAGCAAGCAAAGCGTATGGTTAATAGCAGTTCACGGTTCTTTGGCTGTGTCCTAGACCATCCTAAACTTGAAAAGCCTGAATAGGTTACGGAACAGAACTTTAGAGTTCCTTTGAACCCCTCTATTGTCTGTGCTACTGTTGCTAATGTGCTCAGTTAAGGCTTTTACTTCCATCTCCAACTCTTACCAAAAAGCAACAGATAATAGACCTTTATCATATCTATATTTGAAAGCAAAACCCCATCAGTAGCTTCATTTGTGTCAGTCACATTGTGCATTTAGGATTCTATTCCACCATGACAGTGCTATAATTGCTGTTAATTGTGTGCCAAAGTAAATGCTTGATGTCCGTGGAGCACATGTAAGTGTGATTACGGACTCTGCAGACAGATACTGTCTGTATGAGCCAGTTCTCCAGAACCTGGATCATAAGAATCACTCACGTGTCAAGGTAATGTTAAAAATTAATGACTAGAATGACTGCATTTAGCCTCTGATTAATCCTCATTAATTAAGTTTTTGTTAGACCCCCAAGAATATCATTCAAATGTTAAAAGTTTGGGTTTGCATTTTTGATTGTCGTTTCAGTGTAGCAGAACAAAGGTGTAAAGTGTACGTTAAAGCAAATCCTGAAAATTCATGTCATGGGGACTTGGAGAAATCAGGATTCTTCTGAAGCCCTGTATATTTCTCTTTGTTCAATCTCCTGCATCCTACCAAGCACAGTTTTTCATTATAATCTTTTGCAGACACTGTTACTCAAATAAACTTGTTTCTGATCGTTACATCATGCCTGAGTCTTCAGTACGGCCTGGGCAGCTTTGCTGTGTAACAGTCTCGAAATGGTGGTACCGCGCTATCATCCATCGTGTGGTCAGTGACCAAGAAGTAGAGGTGTTCTACCCAGATTACGGAAACCTCGAAATTGTCTGGAAGTCTTGCCTGAGATTCCTCAAGTAAGTAAATTATACATGGGTGACAGAGCCACAGAATGGTTGAGGTTGGAAGAGACCTCTGGAGGTCATCCTGTCCAGCCTCCCTGGGCCATCTAGAGCAGGCTGCCCAGGACCATGTCCAGGCAGCTTTTGAATGTCTCTGAGGATGGAAACACCATGACCTTTCTGGGCAATCTGTTCAATCGCTTGGTCTCCCTCACGATAAAAATGTTGCTTTCCACCCAGTCAGCCCCCAACATGTACTGGTGCATAGTGGTGTTAGTACCCAAGTGCAGGACTTTGTTGAACTTCCCTAGGTTCCTGTCTGCCTGTTTCTCTATCCTGTCAAGGTCTTTCTGAGTGGCAGCATGACCCTCGGGTGTATCAGCCACTCCTCCCAGGTTTGTATCATCATCATCAGACTTGCTGAAGGTAGACTTTCCCCTGTCATCTAAATCATTAATGAAGATGTTGAACAATATTGACCCCTGGGGTACGCCACTAATTTCTGGCCTCCAACCAGACTTTGTACCACTGATCACTCTCTGGGCCTGACTCTTCAGCCATTTCTCAATCTACCTCACTGTCCAGCTCATCCAACCCATACTTCGTTAGCTTCTCTATGAGTATCTTACAGGACACAGGTCAAAAGCCTGACAGAAGTCAAGGTAAACAATACCCACTGCTCTCCTCTGGCCTTCCAGGCCAGTCATTTCATCATAGAAGTTGTCAGGTTGGTTAAGGATGACACTTCCCCTTGGTGAATCCGTGCTGGCTGCTACCAATCACCTTCTTGTCCTTCACGTGCCTGGAAATGGTTCCCGGGATTAGTTGTTCCATTGCCTTCCCAGGGATTGAGGTGGGGCTGACTGGCCTGTCTTTCTTCAGAAAGACATCCCAGCGTGCAGATTTCCTAGAAGAGATCTCGGGATTTATTCCATTATGATGCCTTGCAGGCATTTCCTTGCTTGCATGCTAATACTTGAGGTGACATTGTTTAAGACCTGTTTTGCTGATCACTCCGGGCCCTTTGCTCATCAGCCCTGTTTGTTGCTCCCTCACAGTGACTTTGGGTTTATCTCCTATTTCCACCTTCACTCAGTCTTTCCTCTTGCTACTTTCTATCACTTTGGGGCAAGCTCCCTAAACTTCCTTCCTGGGTTCCATGAAACACCCTCCTGAACAGCCATCAGTCCAAGTGGGATGCATTTGCCATGTCAAGGGTACTCGTTCTTCTCTGCAATTCAGTACCTTTCCCAAATTTGCTTCTTCCCTCTCATTTGCCTCTATTTATACTGGACCATTTGCATTCTTTCATTCAAAAGTCATTGCTCTATGTCTGTAACTTTGTAATCATAAGGGGTTATGATGGGAAGATGCTTGGACAAGGGAAGGCGTAAAGGACCAGTAGTTATTGCTGTTGCTGCAGTGCCCATTCTCTGGATATGGAGTGTTTTCCAAAGCTGCTGTTGGTTTTTAGTCATAAGTGCAGACTCCACTATGTGCCTCTCTATTCCTAAGGTGATTTTAAAACCCAGAAGAGGAGAAAGTTCTGCTCTTCTGCCTGGTTTTGCTCTGGTTTTGCTGTAATGGCGATGACTTTGTTTTGTATTGTAGGTGGTGCTACTTGAAGCTCCCTGCTCAGGCCATCCCGTGTTCCTTGGCATGGGTAAAACCTGTGGAGGTAGGTGTTCACATGCAGTTTTGTTTGTTGACAGCTGTAGGAGAGCTATCGAGTAGAGATTGGCTTTATCTTCTGAAAAAGGCAAACATTTGGCTTAATTCAGGTCCCATTGACATTCAGAGGAGAACTGCTGCGGTTAACGTTCAGCAGAGCGTGACTGCGTAAGTCTCTGTCTTTGCAATTGATCACCCTTCCACTGTCTGTTTTCCTCATGATCAGAGTCTTCTTGCTCATATTATTGCAGAAGCAGATAGCTACTGTTCAGCAAATGAGAAAACTTCTTACCCTGCCAGTAGTTCTCCAGGGTCCTTCTGAAGCCTTGGTAGCTCCAGCCCTTTGTTTAAAATATTTCCTGTGTGATGGAGCTTTAGGTGAGTTGATTTGGTGCAATCAGCGTAGCCAAGGAATTGTAGAGGTCATAAGAAAGTTTCTCTGTGCTGAGAAACTTCTTTGTCAAGAAGCTTGAGAAATGCAATCTCTGAAGGAGAGCATGTGAGCAGAGTTGCTTCTTCTGTACTTCAAAGACGTTATTTTTGAAAAGTTGTTTCCTTCTGTTTTTTTAGGCTTAAAGAATCTCAGTTTTCATTGTAGTGCAGCTTTAGGTGAGTTGATTTGGTGCAATCAGCGTAGCCAAGGAATTGTAGAGGTCATAAGAAAGTTTCTCTGTGCTGAGAAACTTCTTTGTCAAGAAGCCTGAGAAATGCAATCTCTGAAGGAGAGCATGTGAGCAGAGTTGCTTCTTCTGTACTTTACAAACGTTATTTTTGAAAAGTTGTTTCCTTCTGTTTTTTTAGACTTAAAGAATCTCAGTTTTCATTGTAGTGCAGCTTAGCAGCTTCTTAAAAACTTTTGATACTTTTAATATCTATAATCACATGATTCCAGGAATTTAAAAAAAAAAAACAAACGCAAAAAACAACTGTATTTTAGGTGATTGTGATAAAATTGCTGGTGAATGCCGTGGAACCGCGCTTGGAAACAAGTATTTAGGGTGAAAGTGCATTCCCAGCATAACGAGCGTTGCAGGCTTGGGGTAGTTTGACTTAGTTCAGAGCCATCAGGAATCTCATTGGCCTGACTTTCCTTTATTGTCCCTAGCTTAGTTGTCTGCAAAGGAAAGTCTCGGGCAGAGGATGTTGGTCTATTTATAGTAACTTTACGTTCTTGTTTCTTCTTCAGGAGACATGGTCCAATGAAGCAACTCTCCTATTCAAGAAGCTGTGTGTCTCCAAGCTACTTGTGGGCATCGTGGATGAATATGTCAGTGGCATTTTGCATCTCTTCCTGTGTGACACGTCCACTGAGGAGGATGTCTACTTCCACTGCGTCTTGAGGGACAGGGGATGTGCTGACGTCTGCGGAGAGAACATTCCGTCCCAGGTCAGGAGGGAAGCGTGTGCTGCTGAAAGGAAGGGCAGGGAAAGGATCAGTTGGGTGCCTGTAACAGGAAGATCTTTAGCTTGAAGCAGGTAGTTTTGTGAAGAGCAAAACTGATACCCCCTGCTTCCCTGTAACTTACTGTTTGATGACTGCATCCCATGGTGTCAGACTCTATGGTGAGAGCTTGCTTTTTGTTTAAGGTGGAATCTGATGGTGCAACAGAGACACTCTGGTTTTATAGAACAAACTATTTCTATGCTGTCTTCCAACAGTGGATTAGAAACAGTTGATTTTTTTTTTTTTTGAAGTTGATCAGCTTGTTAGAATTGCAGATTCATCTGAACCAATGCACATCTCTTATAAATAATACAGAAAAGTAAAACAGCTATAGATGTTCTCAGCGTAAGGCCAAACTGAGATGGAATTGAGAGGTTGTTAAGAGATGTGTTAGTTACTTGACTATGCATTGTTAATTCCATCAGGATTTCCTAGTCATAATTTAAGAGGCCTCTGATTCATCCAAACAATTAATGAGAGCAAGTTGATTAGATTTTTAGTATCTCACTGAAAGTACTGTTGCGTAGTGACAGGGGCAGTTGAGTGAGAAACAGGGTAGTTAAATAAGTTGTTTTGGCTTTCTCTGCTCTAGGCATTGAAAACTAGTTATGCCATTAACAGACTGAATTATGGAAATGGTTTAAAAAGTCTCTTACTTTGCCGGTGAAATGTACAATGTTGGACAATGTAACTATGGTGTAACTATGTACAGATTGCACATCGTGCCTTGAACAGACGTTCGAGGTGTAAACGAGTGCAGAGAGCATTTATGATTTAGGACCATCTGTGTCATTGTCTGAATGTCTCAGCTCGGTTTCAGTGAAGAACTGTGAGGATGCCAAAACCCTTGGAAAGGTACCGCCACAATTTCGAAGTCACGCTTTACAGCCTGGAGTGTTTGTGTTTGCTGTTTTATTCAATAGAAGCAGAATGCATGTTTTGGCAGGATTAGATCCTATGATTGTATTTTTATGTGTGTAGGCCCCGTTTTAGGGGGAGAGGGGCATCGCTGACTGATTTTATTGCTGGAGGGAGGGTAGTTGATTTTCGTAGTAAGACAATTTCTGCAAGAATTTGGAGGTAAATTGTGGATGGCGTGCTTCTTCATAAAACCTATTTGAAATTTGCTGAATCCCTTTTATTCTTTCTGATAGTTAGAACATGGTTTTCTTAACTGTACTGGGTTTTTTTGTTTGTTCCTAGGGATTCAAGGAACTGAATCCTTCGGCCTTGTATGTTCAGCCCAGTGGAAAGCAGGAGAATGCTGAACTGGTGGAGACAGACCTTCATTTGCAGCAGGA